AATTATAATAAAATAAAATTTATATATATATATATATATATATATATTATACTATATTTTATTTATTTTATTTATATTATTTATATTATTTATTATATTATATTATATTTTATTTTATTATATATTATATTATATAATAAAATATATAATAAATTATATTATAATTATTTATTATCTTATTAATAATAATAATAATAATAAAGTGAAACCATCATAGTATTAACAAGTATTCGTCTCTCTTTTTCTGATAACTTTTGAAATTATGAAATATTCAAAATATTTTATCATGAAAATTCTAAACAATCAATAATCATTGCTACGTAATCGTTTAAATTGATATGATTATTATAATTATAAAATAATTGATCAATTGATAAATCTAATGTTAAACTATTGATAAATAATTGATTGTTCGAATGTTGTAAAAGTCGTGTAATCGGGGAGACGATTAGAAATGTAAATGATTATTTGAATATTCGTTAGATAAAACTCGAATAGGAATTAATAGAACGAGATAATAATATTGTATTAGGTAGGTATGATTTACCTGATACGTGTGAAGCGTATCAATAGCACGCTGCCTACCATCTTGACTATAAACACAGAGTGCTGAGAGTAATTCAACGACTTGTTTCTTCACCGAAGTGCATGCCGTGTCCAATGCTGAAATTGCAATATATGTACATATGTATATGTATGTATGTATGTATGTATGTAGGTATATGATTATCGATCCCTCGTCAAGTATTTCGAAAATGCAAAAGGATGTAGTAACATAGAAAAGAAAAAATTAAAAAGAACAAGAAGAAGAAGAAGAATTACCCGAAGCTAGTTTTATGCAATAGTCGGGATTGTCCACGATATAGTCGAGGCCCACGTGCGAATCCATGTTGACTCTCTTAGGAAAGTCTTCTTAATCTATAAAAGAAATAAAAAAAAAAAAACAACAAAATTAATTATAATACAAAATACAATTTCACAATGTGGGATAGTTCTTTATTATAAGAGATGATATACGAGACCACTTGTAAAGGTCTTCTTGATGATGGTTGCGTTCGAAAAACTTGAAAGATATTACACGCCGATAAAGGTCGATGATCCTAATATACGATTAATATTCTAAAAAAAAGAAAAAAAAACATATGTGACGTATATGGGAAAGGGAGACGGTTCAGTCTGGTTGGTCATTAACACGTTGGATGATAATTAACACGTGATTTTGGAATTTGAAATAAAACTACTCGATGATACGATGAAAAAAAAAAACAAAAAAAAAATACCAACTCCCACTACTACAATTATATTGAAATATTATCATGGTGTTTTTTTTTATTTACTTGAATCTTATTTAACATCTCCATTAAATATTCTTTTTTGGATTGACACATAATACGTAAGCGTTTTCATGGACGTGGGTAATCTTTGGTGTAAAAAATAAATCGAAAGGCCATAGTGAATCTCGAGGATTCGTCCTCGAAACGAACCAGAAATCGAGAGAGCTCGATTCTCTCTCTCTCTCTCTCGTACACACGTATTTTTCCGAGCACCTCTCGTTGTTGCTCTCTCTCTCTCTCTCTCTCTGTCGTGCCATTTTTAGACGGTAACTTGCACTATGATTCATAACGTTGCTGCACATGGAAAGCCATAGTCGGAGCGTTTCGTCGAAACTTTTCGAGAGTAAAACAGAGAGAGAGAGAGAGAGAGAGAGAGAGAGAAGAATAAAACAAACCACTTCGTTCAATTCAGGAATTTCCGTGCCGTTGGCCATTTTCGTCGTCAAAATGGCCAAGTCTTATATACCTATATACATATATTATACTTATGATTTTTGTCTATTCTACCATTTGTGATTAATGGGATAATTCTGGTCTAGAAATTTGAAACAATCGATTTTTATTTATTTATTTAAGTGAAAACTTCTTTAGAATGGTAGTGAGTACTGAAAAGTAAATAAACGGAAACGGAGCTATGTAACGAAGCTATGAAACGATTGTCATACTAAATAATGAGAGAAAAAGAGACAAACATATAGGATTTAGACTGCGAGGGAATGAGACGGAATATAGCTATACAGTTTTTTCCTATTCTCGGTCTCCTCTTTATACTATGCTTCGTAGTTATCGCACCTGGTTGTATATGTGTGTGTTTCTATTTTATTAAAAAATTATTATTAAATTATTTATTTCGTAAATATTATTCTTATTAATGATAAACATTGTATATATTTTACATTAATATTAACAAATATATATATATATATATATGCGCGTTGAACGATCACGCAAGTTATTTTTACCAAACGCATATATAACCACTCAAAGGATTAATCCCATTTCGTTGAAAGTTTTCTATTAAAATCAAAAGCAAAATTAATTTTATCCAAGCCTCTGATATATGTAATTAAAAACCAAATTCAATATTTATATGCGAGAATTTGAAATGATGTTAAATATTTTGAACGTTGTGCGAAATGTATCAAATGATTTTTCAAGAGAATAAACGAACAAGGAGCTTCTCATAAAACGTCTCGTATCGTCAGATAAGAGAGAAACCAATAAAGATCGGAGGAACGAAGTTGAGGTCTAGGTTGGACTAATATACGTACACATACATATATATATATATATATGCATTTGTAAATGGAATTTATGAGCATTAACAAACACATACATATATACATATACATATATGCATATAAACGTATATAGACAAAAAACTCAAGCGATTGAAGATGCACATATGTGTGTGTGTGTGTGTGTGTGCATGATATGTATATATCTATGTAAGTGTTATGTATATATGTACTTTACACATGTATACATATATAAACTTACGTAGTCGTTTAAACGCGGGTGGATTCGCGCAAGAAGGAAACGTATTACGTACACTCGTTTACTCGCATGTAATCTGCAGGGGCGTAGAAATCATCATCTAAAATCGAGGTCGCATGTAACGTTACTTTAAAATAAATATAAATATGTATATATATATATGTATGTAAATAAATTCATATTCGCGTACACGTGAAGAAGAAGAAGAAGAAGAAGAAGAAGGGATTGTCTTTTTCTGTTTCTTATTTCAATTTAACGAGTCTACGAAAAATTCAATCAATGCATGAGTGTAATAACAAAAATTTAATCAAAATTAATAGTCAAATTTAATCAGTCAATGGACGAATGTAGGAAAAAAAATTTTTTTGCAATTAATGAGATTCAATGAGCTACGAAGAAATTCGTCAATGCATGAGTCTACGTAAAAGTTCAGTCAATGCTCATTGATCATTGACGAATTTCTTCATAGCTCATTGATCATTGACTAATTTTTTCGTAGACTCATTGAAATTTAAAAAAAGAAAATACAAGTCCTTCGATCATTGACGAATTTCTTCGTAGACTCATTGAAATTATTTTTAAAATGCACGAGTCCTCGATCATTGACGAATTTCTTCGTACACATCTGGATCTGCATACATGGTGTTTTTTTTTTCTTTTTTCAATTAATTTATATATCGTTACTTCTCTCTTCGAAAAAACAAAAAAACAAAAAAAAACAAAAACAAAAAAACCAATGAAATTTATACAATTAATCTACATAATTAATATTTCAAACGGTAAAGTGTTTTTGTATTTATAAAATATAATCGTTTCCAATAAAATGATTCTAATATTTGTTGTGTATTATATCGAAAAAGAATATGGTCGTTAGATGAAATGAAATCGTTTCCGTTTATGGTGATGGTTGAACGATGATCAGAAGAGAATAAGAATGTTTTGAAAAATGTTAATGTTTCGTATAAATAATAACGGGACAGACAAAGACAAACAGAAAGAGAAGAGTATGATGATGATGATAATGATGATGATGATGATGAAGAAAAGAGTGGGAGAGATAGACAGAGAGAGAAAGAGAGAGAGTAAGGGCAAGAAACGAAATCCGGTAAGAAAGAATGGTAGGAAGGGAAATCTCTTAGAGGAAAGACCATATGATTGCATCACTGAACGCGTGCACATACCTCTAGTCATGTTTAAAAATAGATTTCTTCGATATTTAACACTTAGAACTTACCCAAAACTAGTCAAAATAGTTTTTAATTATTCTATTAATTTATTTATTAAGTCTTCATTTTTCTTTTTTCTCAAGTAGGAAAAGTATATATATATATATATATATATATATAATATTTTTATTTTTTATAATAATAATATTATTTTAATAATATTTTAATAAATTTATATTTTAATAAAATAAAATTATTTTATAATATTATATTTATTTGATATAATATTATATGTAATATAATATAATATATAATATTATAATATTAAATATAAAATATATATAATATAAATAATATTATATACGTGTACCAATTATTCTTTGATATTTCAGACATTATATTATATTTTTATTGAATTAAAAATTCATAAATTTCTACATCTGATATATATATAGAAAAAAAAAGATATGTAGCATATTTTAACAGTAATCAATCACTTTGACTGTTATTATTGAAACGAGGTAAAACCTGTATTTTAATCAGACAGATTAAAAATAAAAAAATAAAAAATATAAGAAAAATGTCATTCATAAAGGAATATTAATTAATGAACAATTCGATTATTAAAACCTTGCTGTGTCTTATTGTAGTAGTCCTGTGTCTTATTGTTAGACTTAAGAAAGGTAAACGACACCCAACATACGAGACTTTTGAATTGTTATCCTGCACCGGTCACGAATAGTAACGATCGTGTTTGTCTGATTCATACTTTGTTCTATCTCTCTCTTTCTCTTTCTCTGTTGCAAGCACATTGGCAACACCCAGCAGGAGCTTCCTGCGATCTCGTTCCTATCGATGACCTCGAGCTTCGACCAACGACAACGACAACGACGATGTTACGCAGCTCGTGCGGAGGCTGACCATCTTAGGAAGGCCAAGATGAAAGGAAAGAAAAACGTATGGTACCAATTTCATCTCTTATTATTTTTTTTCTTCTTCTTCTTCTTCTTCTTCTTCTTCTCCTTTTCTTTTTTTTTTTTTTTCTTTCATTATATGTATATATATATGTCATATGAGAATTAACCCTTCCGGATTAATTTACAATTATTTGTAATAATTAACATTGATGTTGGTTTTTAAATTATTATTACTATTACTATTACTATATTACTATTATTATTATTATTATTATTGAAAAATAAATTATTTTTGTACGTATATAAATTTATAACTTATATTATTATAATAATTTTTTCTATTTCTTATTTATTTCCTTCATTCTTTTTTTACTCTACTTAACAAAGATGTTGGTTTTAAAATTTTTTTTATTATTACTATTGCTATTTCTATTACTATTATTATTATTATTATTATTATTATTGAAAAATAAATTATTGTACACGTATATAAATTTATAACTTATATTACTATAATAATGTTTTCTATTTCTTATTTTTTTCCTTCGGTTTTTTTTTTTTACTCTACCATCGAGTTCTTCTCTCTCTCTCTCTCTCTCTCTCTCTGCCTATTTGACTACTTTTTATTTCCAAGGACGAATCATCGTTTCGTCGTAACAGAAAAAAAAAAAAAAAAAAAAAGAAGAAACTTTTTAAAATGTTGCCATTTGAAAGATTGGACAAAATTTCACTACTACGTGGATTATTTTCGTTCGTTCAAATTAACTGACTGACATTTAATTAGAACGCGTGCAACCTATACCCATACGTTAAGTAATCAACTACACAAGTATTAATTTTTGAAATAAATACCAACAAATAAAAAAGAAAAAATTACAAAATATATCTCTATTTCTCTGTTACGCATTAAAATATACAAACGAGAGATACTCCTTTAGAAAATGAAACGAATTAAATTGCAAATGTATGATAAGTAATAAATTTGTCTCGATCGAATAATAAGGAAAAATAAAAATAACAAAAAAAAAAAAAAAAA